TTTGGCAATATACTATGACACAATTGTGACCCCATTGATTAGCAAAAGCAGGTCATATCTAAGAGGTACATGGGGATTTTTGCGGATAAGATATTAGGGCTACACATCCCAAAGAGCACAATATTAGTCACCTGGGATGTGTCTAGCTTGTTATGTGTAGATTGAATACAGGAGCAGAACAGTCACAAAGCCCAGTAAATCCATATTCACTTCAAACATCCAGTCATGAGAAAAGGAACATCCTATTATATTTAAATTCTCCTGTAAGTGATTATATGAAAAAAGGAAAATAAGAAATCACTGGCTCTCCGAAATTCCTTGACACAAGGAATTTCAGAGTGCCAGTGATTTTTTTTCATTTTCTATGGATCGATTGGTGGCACCAACTGCTTGCACTGTAGCACCCACCTATATTTACTTGGGATTCATTCCGGTCAGAAGTGCGATGGGATATGGACACATTTAACTATATGAAAACAGGTTAACTGGGCTAAGTGGAAATTCTGTTCCTTTAGAATATCAACCACACTGATTAAGTGGGTCCTGTAAGCTGAAATAAAAATTTGCAATGTGCACCAACCCATAGTAACCTATCAAATGTCATGTTTGAATTGAGGTGAATTTTGATTCGTTACATTACTTTGCTCTTGGTTATATCGTAATATTGTATTTCTATATATATTTCAAAATATGTTCCTGTTCACAAGTTGTCCATGCTCTCTTTAGCTACTCTGTTAATAAATATTCTCTGAATCCAGTGGCATGTGTGTACCCTGTATTAAATGTTTGTTTATAAAACAAATATTATGTTTACAGTTTAATATAAACACTATATTGCCAAAAGTATTGGGACGCCTGCCTTTACACGTACATGAACTTTGATGGCATCCCAGTCTTAGTCCGTATGGTTCAATATTAAGTTAGTTCACCCTTTGCCACTATAACAGCCTCAACTCTTCTGGGAAGGCTGTCCACAAGGTGTAGGAGTGTGTCTACGGAATGTTTGGCCATTCTTCCTGAAGAAAAGTTGTGAGGTCAGGTACTGATGTTGGAGGGGAAGGCCTGGCTCGCAGTCTCCTCTCTAATTCATCCCAAAGGTGTTCTGTTAGATTGAGTTCAGGAGTCTGTGTAGGCAAGTCAAGTTCCTCCACCCCAAACGCGTTCATCCATGTCTTTATGGACCTTGCTTTGTGCACTGGTGTGCAATCATGTTGGAACAGGAAGGGGCCATCCCCAAACTGATCCCACAAAGTTGGGAGCATAAAATTGTCCATAATGTCTTGGTATGCTGATGCCTTAAGAGTTCCGTTCACTGAAACTAAGAAGGGGCCAAGCCCAACCTCTGAAAAACAACCCCACACCCTAATCCCCCTCCACCAAACTTTACACTTGGCACAATGCTGTCAGGCAAGTACCGTTCTCCTGGCAACCGCCAAACCCAGACACGTCCATCGGATTGCCAGACAGAGCAGAGTCCAGTGGCGGCATGCTTTACACCACTGCATCCGACACTTGCATTGCACTTTTGATGTAAGGCTTGGATGCAGCTGCTCGGCCATGGAAACCCATTACATGAAGCTCTCTACGCACTGTTGTTGTGCCAGTCTGAAGGTCACATGAAGTTTGGAGGTCTGTAGCTATTGACTCTGCAGACAGTTGGCGACTTCTGCGCACTGTGTGCTTCAGCATGCGCTGACCCCGCTCTGTAATTTTACGTGGCCTACCACTTTGTGGCTGTGTTGCTGTTGTTCCCAGTTACTACCACTTTGTTATAATACCACTAACAGTTGACCGTGGAATATTTAGTAGCAAGGAAATTTCACGGATGGACTTATTGCACAGGTGGCAACCTATAATTATTTCACAAATGTTTGTAGAAGTGTCTGCATGCCTAGGTGCTTGATTTTATACACCTGTAGCCATGGGGGTGAATGGAACATCTGAATCCAATGATTTGGAGAGGTGTCCCAATACTTTTGGCAATATAGTGTATATATGTATATATAGTGTATATACAGTATGGCCTGAAAATGTCAATAAATACAGTATATACAGGCTTCAGTATTAGATATTTTTAGTCTGTGTTAATCACTTTGCTGCCTTTTTTTAAAGTCATAGCAAAAGTGAAGAATAATGTCTTGCAAAACAGGTAGTGTACTTGTTGGTAAGCAGTGGTATGGATGTAGCCCCGCAAAAAATGATTCCCTTTGTATCCATTTGTATTTTTATTTCGGTATTCGGATTTCAGATCCAAAATGTATTTGGTTTGTTTTTCGGATTTCGGATCCGTCTGAATTTTCATTTTGGAACTAAGTCACATGACCATGCATGGAATGCAACCCCCAACAGCCAAAAAACCCCCATCTGATTGGGCAGAGCAGTCACATGTCTGACTTAGTTTATTTTTGAACGAAATTCGGATGGATGCAAATTTTTGTTAAACAACCATTTTGGATTTCTTCGCATTCAGAATGTGTTAGAATTTGGAAATTTGGATGCATCCGAATGTCCGAATTTAACGAAATTCGTATGAATATTATATATATTCATTCGGAATGAAACAAAAAATGTACATGTCTAAGAAACATCAGGAAAGGAGGTCTGAAAGTAATACAATATTAACCCCTTCGTGACTGACGACGTACAGTGTACGTCGCCAGCATCGGGGCTGTTTAAACAGACTCCCGGCGACTTTTGCCGCCGGGAGTCTGTTTAAACTTGTAGAGCCGACTGTCGGCTTTACAACAGAAGCGATCATGGCGACTTACCTGTCGCCAGATCGCTTCTGCGTCCCGAAGAAGGGGCCGCCCCCCCGCCGGACACC